CAGGCCAGAGTCAGGTGCTTAGGTGTCAGTGGGAGCTGAGGCTGGGCTACAGCCAATCCTGGCATGGACTGTGTTTGGAATCCTAGACTGGCAGCTAACTAGAGATACAGGGAGATGGGATGGTGATGGAGGTGGAGGGCATGGAGTGACCGACCAGGGGAAAATCAGCCTTCTGACTGGGACAGAGGTGGGGGCTAGTGGTGTATGTGCAAAATGGATCTCCCAGAGCATCTTGCATCATGGAGAGGCAACCTCAACAGAGGGTCTGGGCCTCACACAGTGTAACGAGAGACATTGTTTTTTTTCTTGGGAAGTCCAGTTTCTCTCTCTGGGGTTTAGCACCCCTCCCCCTACTCCGACTGACCAGCAGTAAAAGGCAGACACTGGATGGAGCTTCTCAGAGCATTTATTATTATTTTTTGAATACAAGGCAGGGAGTAGAAGTAGCTGAACAGGGCATGCTGCAGGGTGTGAGTGGGGCTGGCTTGGTGGAGGGGCTGGCGTAGGGGTTTGCGTGTGGGGAGCAGCAGAGTGAGGGGCACACATGCAGCAGCTGAACTAGAAGGGAGGAGGTGAAGGGTGTAAAGGGAGCTATGAGCAGCTGCAGAGGATGCAGACCCTGAGCCCGCTCCATCCCTGGAATCCCCTCATTTCTTCATAAGTTAAAAAAATTCCTGGTGGCAGCTAAAGTCAGAGGCTGTAAGGGTCAGAGTCACAGATTGGAGAGCAGAGTGTGCTCCGGCCAGCAGAGTCAGGTTCCAGTGGATGGTGGCTCAGGCCTCCTCTGCTGTGGCATCAATGCCCGCGTAAGTGAAGTTCTCAAACAGCGACATGTTCACATAGGCCTGGGGCAGAGCCAGAGCTTTAGTGGGGACCAGGGATGGGGGTGCATCTGGCCCCAAGCTCCTTGACTTCCATGCGTTTGGGGCCTTTGAAGAAACACTGATTTGCTCTGGAGACTCAAGATGGCCCCATGGCTAAGGGTGGCTGTTCCCAGCTTGGAGCAGTGAGGGCAGCAGACCACAGAGGGGTACGGGAGGTTAAACACTGATTTGCTCTGGAGACTCAAGATGGCCCCATGGCCAAGGGTGGCTGTTCCCAGCTTGGAGCAGTGAGGGCAGCAGACCACAGAGGGGTACGGGAGGTTCTCAGGAGAAAGGACCTTGACACTATTGTTAGATCAGGGTTTTTCATGTGCTCATCCAATAAATTGTTTGCTTATGCATTCATTCACTCATTTACTTACTCATCTATGCATAAGGCCATTTTTGATGATTCACTCATTTATATGGTTATTTGGTCATTCCTTCATTCTTAAGATAGTTATTTAATCATTAAATAATCTATATGACAAACTCTTTTTGTATTTACTCATTTTGATATATTTCTTCATTTACATTTATTTGACAATTCATTTATTCAATGGTTATTAGATTCACTTATTAAATTATGTATTTATTTGTATGATTATTGTACCATCCATCCACTAATTCCATTCATTCGTTCACACAGTTCCTGTATCATTCATTCACCATCCATCCATTTGACCAGCTGACCATTCATGCATTCTGCTCTGGCTGTGTGCCAGATGAGGAGAGGTGTCCAGGTAAGAATGGGCTGATGACCTCTGCAGGGGAGGACAGGCAAGCAGCCTGCGACCTGGGGCTTGGGGGAGGGATTTGCTGTTGGGGCGAGTGGCAGTCTTGCAAGTTTGGAAGGGCCTAGTGTCCAACCCACCGAGGGCTGGGAAGGGAGGTGTATCCTGTGCCCAGCTGAATCATGGAGATGGCCCCAGCTGAGGGAGTTTGGGTGGGCAGTGTGGTGGGGACAGGGAACAGGCAGCTGCTGCTATCTGGCACCTGTGAGAGGGCATCCCTGTGACGTGGGTAATCCCCAGTCCCCACCACCCCGTCTCCTCACCTTCCTAGCTTCCAGCATGCGGCCCAGCTGCAGTGCGATCTGGGCAAAGGGGGGTCGCTCGTATGGACGGTCCCGCCAGCACTGACGCATCAGCTCGTACCTGCAGAGGAAGCACTGCTGAGATGAGGGTCACAGGGCAATGGGGCCACAGGGCTCAAAGTGGAGGTCACTCATCACAGAGATGGAGTCACATAGCTCAAGCGTGAGGCGACTCACACTTCATCATCACAGTTTCGAGGCTGCTCCATGCGGTAGCCCTGCGGCAGCTTCTCATAGAGCTCAGCACAGGTCATGCCACAGTAGGGTGTGCCTCCTGCAGGAGGGCACAAAGCTCTTTCAGTCCAGGGCCCAGCGAGGAGTAAGATGGGGCACTCTGGGGCATGGAGGTCAGGGACTCACCAAGGCTCACTATCTCCCAGAGGAGGACCCCAAAGGACCAGCTGAAATGAGAAGGATGTACATAGTTAACTTCTAGGGGCCCAGCAGCTTAGCCTCTACCTACCCAAGATGTGCAGCCCCTCCCAGACCCTGCATGTATCTACTCTGCAGGTATCTAGCCTTGCCAGCTGTGGTCTCTGCTCCAGGGAAGCTCCTTCATAGCCCCCGCCTCCCAAACTCAGGCCCAAATATCTGTAGCTAATATTTTAATTGAGCACTTACTATGGTTCAGGCACTGATCATTTAATGTATGTGCTAGTTCATTTAACCCTCACAACAACCCTATGATATAGGTTCTATTATTATCTCCATCTCATAGATGGAGATGCTGAGGCACTGAGAGGTTAGCTGGCTTGCTCGAGGGCA